GTGGTGGTATCAAGAGGAACAGGGGTAGTGGTGGTATCAAGAGGAACAGGGGTGGTGGTGGTATCAAGAGGAACAGGGGTGGTGGTGGTATCAAGAGGAACAGGAGTAGTGGTGGTATCAAGAGGAACAGGGGTAGTGGTGGTATCAAGAGGAACAGGGGTAGTGGTGGTATCAGGGGTGGTGGTGGTGGTGGTGGTAATAGGGACGGCGGTGGTGGTGGTAGCAGGACGGGTGCCGGGGGTGGTGATAGCAGGACGGGTGCCGGGGGTGGTGATAGCAGGACGGGTGCCGGGGGTGGTGATAGCAGGACGGGTGCCGGGGGTGGTGATAGCAGGACGGGTGCCGGGGGTGGTGATAGCAGGACGGGTGCCGGGGGTGGTGATAGCAGGACGGGTGCCGGGGGTGGTGATAGCAGGACGGGTGCCGGGGGCGGTGGAAGCAGCAGCAGCGCTGGGCATGCCTCCTTGGCGGTTGCCAATTGGAATCGGGCTGCTGAGGGTTATTCTCTCTCCAGGAGCAGACGACCCCGCCAGGAATGTGAGGGTGTAGCCTGTTGCCGCCAGGGTGGTTCCAGGTTTAATCTCCTGCGCAGACGCTGACGCGCAGCCCTTTGCCGCAAACGGTGAGGAAGATGAACCTGTTGGAAAAATTCAGCCTGTTCTTAGGGGCGAGTAGCTCCAGGTCCTTCTCTGACCCCTCCCCTCTGTCCCTACCGGCCGGCGGTTCCCCTTCTGCCTCCACTTCCCATCTGCCTGGGGGTCTCCCTGCTCCAACTGCACCAGGCCATGGCAGGGCAGGCGCCTGGTGCCCTCTTGCCTCCCCCACACTCCACAGGAGCCAGGGCACTGGGGTTGGGAACGGAGCTTTGGCCACGGCTACTCCTCGCCGGCTCCCCCGTCCCCGGCAGCCCCCCGCTCGGTTCAGTTATTTTATAAACATCCCAGAGCGCCAGGAGCCTTGGGCCACACTGAGAGCAGGAGCTGCCTCAGAGCAGCTTAGCTCCACAATGAACACAAAGGCAGTGGGGTTTAGTGGTTACAGCAGTTTGAAGCGGGAGGAGCCAGCGCTCCTGGGCCCTCTCCCCAGCTCTGCGTCCCTGACATCACAACTCTTCCCGTGGCAAGTACTTCACAGTCACAAACCCAGGAGTAGGGCGGCATCCCTGCGGGGGGAGCTGGGGTGGGAGGGGAACGTCCCAATTCCTCTCTCCTCTCCTCTGTCTAAAACCCCTCTGGCAGCCCCACCCGCCCAGGGCTCTGCACAGACTCCGGGTCCCACCAGCTCTCAGGGATCTCTTCGGGCGGGACATTCCCAGGCACCCCCCGCCCTGCGACCAGCTGGCAAAATTTACCTTGGTTCAGATCTCCAGTGTAATCCAGGCAATAGGTCTCCAGCCCTGTGCAGGGGGTGATTACACTGTTGCAGGCAGCGGAGCCCAGAGCAAAGCAGGTTGGGCACTGCCGCCCGTTCGGGGTGGTGTCTGGGGACACTGAGAACAAAGACAGAGAGACGGTTACAGGTGGGTGAAACCTCGTCCCAGCTGGGGGCTGGGCCCTGCCTCGCCCAGCATGTGCAGGCCCCTCCCTGCAGCCGGGCGCATTTCTCCGTCTGTCTGGGACACAACAGTCGGCGACGGCCGCACTGGCTCAGTTCTGGATCCCGGCGAGAGTGAAGAGGGAGCCGATAGGTGCCGGGAAGTTTAGATTTGAACCTGTCCCGGCGGCGGCTCCCTCCTTCGCATGCAGCCCCACCGATCTCACTGAAAATGGGCCCCGGCTGTTCTACTCCCCCCACCTTGGAGACCTGACAGCTACACTGTCTCAGTGGTGATAGAAGTGACTGTAGCAAGGGAGATGGGGTGTCAATCCGCCCTATGCCGGTCCGATAGCTTAGCTGTCAATGTGCACCCAGTTGACACATGGGAGCCATTTATTACAGTTCTCCAAGCTAATGCCTTTCCAAAGCACTCCTCCAGCCAACCCATGTACATCAGTAGGGGCACACTGAGAGCTAGTCACACCCTCTAATTGTTCGTGTGGCCATGCCCCGAAATAGGGATAATACAAACAGACCCACAATGTACCTTGAGGTGTGGCTGAGTTGCACAAATCTGTGTTGCATTGTAGGACGTTGATCCTCACGTACTGGCCGTTCCCCACGGTGAAAGAGAAGGGGACTTTCATGTGACTGTTGTAGCCGCTGAGACATTGCTTGGAGAAGAACGTCTGCGTTCTTCCATCTTTGTGCAATAGAGAAAAGCAAAACACAAAATGTGAGGCTGGGAGGGACCCATTACTAGCACCTGGGGGTGAAACCAGGCCCCTGAAGTCAATGGGAGCTTTGCAGCTGACCAGCGGGTCCAGGCCTCCAGACTGCCTGGCCTGCCCATTGATGCGTCAGAGACTGGAACAGTGCCGGAATCAACCCAGCACTGCGCCCAGCTGGAGTGTGCTGTGCCAGGTGCCAGGGCTCCAGGAGGGGCGGTGTTGGGGTGGCCCTGGTGCTGAGGGTGGGGACAGAGGCAGGGTAAGATGTGCCTGAGGTGAAGGCAAAGTCACCTACCCAGGGAAATTTCTTCTGCCACGGAGAGGCAGCCGCCCGTCGCCTGGTCGTCTTGGCAGGTCCCTGGAGCCACATCGCAGGCCTCCGTTGGGCCCAAGCACATCTGGAGGAAGAAGAGCGAGTGTTTCCTTCTCACTGAGGTAACAGTGTCAGCTCGGACACGTCCCTGAGCCCGAGTCTCCCCCTGCTCCAAACAAGCCGAGGGGTTAAGGGGCCCAATTGCCTCCAGGACCATCCACAACTCCACAATTTCAATGACAGGCCTGCTGCAGTACCCGGGCTAGGGATCATGAGCATCTGGACTGTTTGTTTGAAGGACCGTGTCCTGTGGCCGGCAGGTGGAAGCTGCGAGTTTCTTAATGAGGACTTGAAATCTAGAACCCTCTGTTCATTGGTCAAACCTTAGTCGGGGGCAGGGCTATCAAGAAGACCAGGGCTTTACAAAGCCCATTACTAAGAGACCAGGGAGCTTTGCAGAACAGGGGCAGCTCACAGGGAGTTTGGTGGGGGAGCTTCGAAGGGGAGTGGGAAGGGGGTGAAGTACACTGGCCATTCTTAAAAACTTTGAAACTAAACTGAAACCAAAACTACCTGATTAAAATAAAATCCCCGTCAATAACCGAATTCTCTGTCGGAAGGGACGCAGGCAGAAGTGCAGCAGCAGAGGGGGGCTGTCCTCTTTATTGCACCCCATGTAGCATGTGTGATTACCTGCCCTGTGGGCGGGTGGCGTACGTGTGCATTCAGTGCAAGGAGCTCCTCGCCCTCAGACACTGTGTACGGGCTTTGGAGGCCAGGGTGGCTGAACTGCAGGAGCTAAGTGAGGCAGCGAGCTATGTTGATGAGACTTTCCAGGACACTGTAGTACTGTCCCACCTCCAGTCTGAGAGCCCCAGTGCTCTTAAGGAGGATGAAAATCTCAAGGGAACAGAGCATTCAATGGGAGCAGAGGGAAACCATCCTGTAGTTGGGACCCTCCTCCCAGAGGATGTTGCGGTATCCTCTCGCACTGAGGATACCTCTGAGGGGGAGGGAATGCCAGTTACGAAGAGGCAGGTGTTAGTAGTGGGTGACTGGAGGAACCGTATGGTGATTTGGCTGCGTGGTGCAAAGGTTGAGGATCTCTCGAGGCATCTAGATAGGCTTATGCGTAGTACTGGGGAGGAGCCGGTGCTCATGGTGACATAGGGAAGGGTAGGAGAGAGGTTCTGGAGGCCAAATTAAGGTCTTCAGAAAGAGACTGAAATCCAGGACCTCTATGGTAGCATTCTCTGAAATGTTTGCAGTTCCATGCAGAGGGCTGGGTAGGCAGGCAGAGCTGCAGAGTCTCAATGCGCGGATGAGACGATGGTGTTGTGAGAAGGGTTTAGATTTATTTGGAATCGGGCAAACTTTTGGGATAGGGGGAGTCTGTATCGAAAGGAAGGGTTCCACCTAAACTGAAATGGAACCAAACTGCTGGCACTTAACATTAAAAGGGTTGTAGAGTAGTTTTTAAACTAAGGGCTGGGGAAAAGCCAGTGGGTATGAAGGAGCACATGGATTGGACGGAGACATCTCTTAGAGGATGGTCTATTAATAGAGATGCTCTGTGTTCTAGTCGGGGGAAGAGGATGGAAGTTTGGGTCAGATCAAATGAGACACAATCAAATCAATAAGAGTCTAACACATCAGGAAATGGCAGACAGATAAACAGTGACAAATTATTAAAGTGCTTATTCACAAATGCTAGAAGTCCAAATAATAAAATGGGTGAACTAGAGTGCCTGGTTTTAAAGGAGGATATTGATATAATAGGCATCACAGAAACTTCGTAGAATGAGGACAATCAACAGTTATACCAGGGTGCAAAATCTATCGGAAGGACAAAAAAGGTCGTGCTGGTGGGGGAGTGGCACTATATGTGAAAGAAAATGAAGAATCAAATGAAGTCAAAATCTTAAATGAGCTGTAATGTTCCATAGAATCTCTATGGATAGTAATTCCATGCTCCAATAATAAGAATATAGCAGTGGGGATATATTATCGAACACCTGATCAGGACAGTGATAGTGACTATGAATGGCAAGGGAGATTAGAGAGGCTACCAAAATAAAAAACTCAGTAATAGTGGGGGATTTCTAATATTGACTGGGTACACATCACCTCAGGACAGGATGCAGAGATAAAATTTCTTGATATCTTAAAAGACTGCTTCTTGGAGCAGCTGGTTCTGGAACCCACAAGGGGAGAGGCTAGTCTTGAGTTAGTCCTAAGTGGAACACAGGACCTGGTTCAAGAGGTAAATATAACTGGACCGCTTGGAAATAGCGACCATAATGTAATAAAATTTAACATCCCTGTGGGGGGAAAAACACCTCAGCAGCCTAGGGCCGTGTCCAGACTCAGGGTTTTTTTCGGGAAAAGTAGCCTTTTCCCGAAAAAACTTCCCCTGCGTCCAGACTCAAGCCGCGTTCTTTCGAAATTATTTCGAAAGAACGCGGCTTTTCTTTCGATGGCGGTAAACCTCATTTCACGAGGAAGAACGCCTTCTTTCGAAAGTTCCTCTTTCGAAAGAAGGCGTTCTTCAATGTAAAGAGGCCGTCTTCGAAAGAGAGCATCCAGACTCGCTGGGTGCTCTCTTTCGAAAAAGCGGATTTCTCTTTCGAAAGATCCGCCTGCAGTCTAGACGCGATCTTTTGAAAGAGGCTCTTTCGAAAGAAGCCTGCAGTCTAGACATAGCCCTAGTGTCTAACCTCTTATATATCACAGGCCATTAAATTTCATCTTGTTACCAATATACTGAGCCCAGTGACTTTAGTTAAACTACAGCACTTCAGTCCCCAAGGGTACGTCTAAACTACATGGCTCCGTCGACGGAGCCATGTAGATTTGTTTATTTGGCAAAGGGAAATGAAGCCGCGATTTAAATAATCAGCTGATCAGCTGTTTGTCGGCTCAGCGTGCTAGTCTGGACGCTCCCCTGTCGAAATGAAAGCCTTTTATCGACATCCCCCTTTCAAAGACACCATAATAGATGCCCAACTTAAGTGTATTACAAACATATAAAAAACGAGTAAGAGAATCAAAGAAGTGCCACCGTGGCTTAACAACCAGGTGAAAGAAGTAAAGAAAGATAAAAAGATATCTTTTAAAAAGTGAAAGTCAAATCCTAGTGAGGAAAATAGGACCATAAATTTTGTCAAATTAAGTGTAAAAATATAGTAAGAAAAGCCAAAAAGGAGTTTGAAGAGCAGCTAGCCAAAAACTCAAAAAATAAGAGCCAAATGTTTTTTAAGTCCATCAGAAGCAAGAAACCGGCTAAACAACCAGAGCGGCCTTAGGACAGCTGAGATGCTAAAGTTTGCAGATGATACCAAACTATTCAAGATAGTTAAGACAAAAGCAGACTGTGAAGAACTTCAAAAAGTTGTCACTGAATTAAGTGACTGGGCAACAAAATGTCAAATGAAATTTAATGTTGATAAATGCAAAGTAATGGACATTGGAAAAAATAAACGAAACTATATCTACAATATTATGGGGACTAATTTAGCTACAACAGCTTAAGAGAGAGATCTTGGAGTCATTGTGGATATTTCTCTGAAAACATCCACTCCCTGTGCAGCGATGATCAAAAATGCAAACAGAATGTTAAGAATCATTAAAAAAGGGATAGGGAATAAAATAGAAAATATTTTAGTGCCTCTATATAAATCCATGGTATGCCCACATCTGGAATACTGCATACAGATGTTGGTTGCCTCATCTCACAAAAGATAGACTGGCATTGGAAAAGCTTCATAGAAGGGCAACAAACATGATGAGGGTTTTGGAATGGGTACCATATGAAGAGAGATTAGAAAGACTTGGACTTTTCAGCTTAGAAAAGAGGAGATTGAGGGGTGATAAAATAGAGGTCTGTCAAATATTCATTGATGTGGAAAAAGCGAATCAGAAAAAGTTATTTACTTGTTCCTACAATATAAGAATTAGAGGTCACCAAATGAAAAGAATAGGTAGCAGGTTTAAAACAAACAAAAGGAAGTTTTTCTTCACTCCTCACACAGTCAACCTGTGGAACTCCTTGCCAGAGGATGTGGTGAAGGCTAGAACTTTAACAGAGTTCAAACAACAGCTAGATAGATTCCTGGAGGTTAGGCCCATCAATGGCTATTTGCCAGGATGGGTAGGAATGGTGTCCCTGGCTTTTGTTTCTCTGGAAGTGGGGGACAGGGGAGAGATTCCGTGAGGATTCCCTATTGTGATCCCTCCCTCTGGTGCATGTGCTATTGGCTTCTGTCAGTAGACAGGATATTGCACTGTATGGACCATTGGTCTGACCCAATATGGCCATTCTTATGTTCTTACGGTCTCAAGTTACAGTAGGGGAGGTCTAGGTTGGATATTAGGAAAAGCTATTTCCCTAGGCGGGTGGGAAGCACTGGGATGGGTTCTCTAGGGAGGTGGTAGAATCTCCATCCCTAGAGTTTTTTAAGTCTCGGCTTGACAAAGCCCTGGCTGGATTGATTGAGTTGGGGCTGGTCCTGCTTTGGGCAGGTGGCTGGACTTGACGACCTCCTGAGGTCTTTGCCAGCCATAGGATTCTGTGATTCTATGTAACTGGCTCTGTGGCCATGAGGAAGTGACTATTCCCCCCGTTTGGCACTGCTGAGGCCACGTCTGGTGTGTTGTGTCCAGTGTGGGGCCCCCCATTACAGGAAGGGGGAGGACATACTGGAAAGTGGCCTGCGGAGGGCAAAGAAGCAATTGGGGGTGGAGCACATGACCTATTCTCCCTCCACGTCAGGGGCATCTGTGCCCCCAATTCACTCCTCCAGCAGTGTTCTTGTGTCCCATGGGATTGGCCGATCGAAGTGTGTATGGATGAGTCCAAGGGGGCATGTTCCCCTCGCTCAGGATGTGAGCTCCTCGAGGGGGGAAACCCCCTTCCACTGGGGCAGGTGGCATCTGCACTACGGGCTCTGCCAGCCCCGCTCCAGCGCCGTGGCCAAGCTGTATCCCCAGAGCTAGTCCCAGCGCTTTGCACGTGCGGGAGGGGCCCTGGTCAGGGAGGGGCGCGAGGGATCGAAGTCCAGGAGGGTTAAGTGGCTTCAGCCGCGGACGACTCACCTTGGGCACTGGCTGTCGCTAGGAGAGCAGGGAGGAGGCAGAGCAGCGAGGAAACCCCCATGGTGCTGGGAGGAGCCCGGGGCTGGGCTGGGAGCTGAACGGAGCCTTCTCACTGGTGCAGCGAGCTCTGCCGGAGGGGAGCTGGCGAGAGTCACGACAGAAAGGAGGCTGGGAAGGGAATCACAGCTGAGAATCAGGAGGGTCACACCAGGCAACACAATTGTACCAGAACTGATTGTTTGGTTCTCTCCCCATTCTAAAGCATTTGGACAAAAAAATATTCTGGGTTGACCCAATTATTGACCATACTGAAAAGCCAAAGTATATGGGTTTGGCGCATTTCCAAGCTTTTAAGGTCATTGAACATTGATTTAAATCTAAATGTTGCAGTCAGCATTGGAAAGAAAAGCCACCTGGATGTGAAAAAAACTCATAATTCTGCAAGTGTCCCCATTTCATTATTTTCACGTTTTTTTCTAGGAATTTTTTTCACTCATTTTCACAATGTTTCGGTCACTCAAACCTGCATTTTTCAACAGAGTAAAGTTTGTTCCCCGCTGTACAATGCCTCAGACATTCCCAGAGATAACAGAACGGGAGTTCTCTGATACAGCCCTGTGTGGGACTGTATTTTAATCCTACTCCCACTCTCTCTTGCGCTGTGCCTGCATTTTTATTTCACTCCCACCTACAAAGACCTTAGATCTCGCTAATCCCGCAAGAGAGACATATTCCCTCAAGCTACATTTAAAAAACTACTTAGGTTACTATATTACACAAATGAACAGAATCCAACACAATTTTTACCACTAAAAATATGGAACAAAATTTGTTTAAACCATGTAAAAAGTTATTTCATTGCTGTTATAATGGACTTCCAAGCTGTTTCTATCCCCTCCTTAAATTTGAGTATTTAAACCTTTCTTTAGGAAAACACTTGCTCTCTCTCGCTGACATTTCTGACAAGATGCTGTCATGTGCTTTGCCCCGTGGCCCCACAGTCTCTTCTTGCCCACCCAGCCACCCCACAGCAAAGCACCTTTTCCCGCTCCCATGACTGCAGAAGCGAGGCCGGTGGAACCAGCAGGATTCTAGTCCGGCTGCTGGGCTGTGCCCTGGGCCGGTTTTCCCCTTCCCCATCCGCATTGGCTCCAGATCTGAGATATCCCTTCTGAGACGGGGCGACCGGCACTGCCCACCCCAGGGCCAGAGCAGCCTGCCGCAGGGCACCACAGTATTTTCCATGTAGTTCTCCTTCCCCTCTGGCAGCCGAACGTCCTTCTTGGCTTTTCTCTTCTGCAGCGGCGCGGCGAGCCAAGGTGAGCACGGCTCCTCCTCCAGGGACACTCGGGTCCCTTCCCTGGTTTCCCTCGGTTGAGTTAGAACCTGCTGAGTCTTGGGTGCTTCAAACTCACCATCCGCCACCGCGCATTACTTTGCATTTATCCAAACTGATCTGCCATCCCGTTGCCCACGAGCCCGCCTCGACCAGGTCTCTCTGGAGTTCCCGACTCACCTTGGTGTCTCTCACCTCTGCCGATTTCATCCCCACACCTGAGAGCCACCTCCTCTCAGCCCCTAAATACCCAGGCAGCGGCCCTGCCCCTCCAGAGGTGTCACTGGCTCAGCCCTTGTTTCAGATCTGCTGTAGGCACCCCGCCAGCTGTTTGCCAGAAACCCAGAATGGCTCATTCGAAGGACCAAGAGGTAATTACCACCGCCCTGCCTGTGAGCAAAGACAGGGATCGGAGAGGGTGAGGTGCACAGCCAGGGCCCAGTGACTCAATTGGGAAGGGAGGGATGCCGGATGAATCCCACTGCAAATCATGGATCCAGGCACATGGCTCAGGACTGGGGAATCTAGCCAGGTTGACCAGTGCAGTTGAGAACAAAACACAAGTGAGGGATGCAAGAGAGGAGGGGAGGGGATGTGACGGGCTGGGTCACAGAGACCCCCTCAGGACTGTCACCTGATGGGCTGAAAACACCGGAGGGCATAGCACTGGGGTCTCAGCCCACTGCAGAGTGACACAGGCACTCCACACGGCACGGCTCGTGGAAGGCTCCGTTAAAGGGACTCATCCCAGATCTCAGGGGTGCAGCCCACTGGGACCAGAACCCCAGATCAATCCGTCTTTCCCTGTATAATGTTCACACAGAGCAAGCCCATAACACGCTCCCCCCTTTATCACTGAAGCAGAGACGTGCCCAGCTCTCGTCCCCCCAGGGAACAATTATTTACGCAGGGTTTGTTCAGAAACACATGGAATTTCATTGAGTATTAAACTTTAAAGTATTAAGATTTGCAGTGAAGTGGCTGCAAGTGGCAGACGGATCAAAGTCGGTCACTAAACAAAACAAAACTGGCCAGTTGCTCCTGATACTCTCAGACACCTGCTCCCTGCACTTTTGTACCCGGACAATCGTTCTCATCACCTGGGACTCCTCCCACCTCGGGCCTGATCCTCCCCCTGTTCAGTCTGATGTTTCCCGCCGGCAGCTTGGGTGCTAATCTGGGGTCTCTCGGGCCTGATCCTCCCCCTGTTCAGTCTGATGTTTCCCGCCGGCAGCTTGGGTGCTAATCTGGGGTCTCTGGGCGTCTGGCAGCCGCCCCATTGGCCAATTTCCCGCCTCGAGAGAGATTTTGCCCCAGGCGGGATCACTTTGTGCTCAGCTCAAGCTTTGTCCCATTTCCAGGGGAACATCCAAGCCCCACAAGGGGCTTTGGCAGCAGGTGCCTGGCCCCATGTCCTGGCAGGACCCAGCCCAGTCCAGGCTCACGGGAAGCGAGACTATGCACAGAGCAGTGTCTCCAGATCCCGGCCGCTGTCTCCCTTCCGTAGCGCTACTGGCCCCGCTTTGCAGGGCTAGGTCGGTAAATCCCGTGTATTTTTCACATCTCTAACTCCCACTAGGACGGCTACAGGCATCCAGACAGAACAGGCACATTCGGCCGCCTGTAACTTTGAAATGACGTGGTACTTTAGATATTTTGCAGAAAGAATCTTTAAGTTCTTCACACTCAGAAGCCTATTTTCATTAAACTCGGGGGAGGTGGCCTCAGAGAATCATAGAATCGTAGAGCTGGAGGTCATCAAGTCCAGCCCCCTGCACAAGGCAGGACCAATCCCAACTAAATCAACCCGGCCAGGGCTTTGTCAAGACGAGACTTAAAAATCTCTATTGATGGAGACCCCACTACTTCCCTAGGTAACCCATTCCAGTGCTTCACTACCCTCCTAGTGAAATAGTTTTTCCTAATATCCAACCTGGACCTCTCCCACCGCAACTTGAGCCCATTGCTCCTTGTTCTGCCATCGGTCACTACTGAGAACAGCCTCTCTCCATCCTCTTTGGAACCCCCTTCAGGAAGTTGAAGGCTGCTCTCAAATCCCCCCTCACTCTCGGGCCTCCCGCCCGAGCTCACTGCTAGACTGTTGGACAGTGTTCAATGCGGAGCTCGCGTGCCTGAAATGTCTGGTAGTCTCTGCTTACACACCCAGCCAGGGTCATTATCCATGTGATCCATGCACAGGCGTGTTTACGGAATACTAGCTCTGTCGCCTGGTGCCTTGAAACGTTTCGGGTGCAGCATTACCCAAGAATGCAGACAGCAAAGTCTTAAAGTATACGGTTCCTGGCACTTAGCCACAGATGCCATGAGGCAGTGTGCCTCAGTTTCCCCTGCCGCACAGCATTATGCTTCTCACAGCCTGTGATACGCTTGCTGCTTTGCCTGAGTCTAAGCCTCTTAGCTTAGGGGCTGCCCGCTTACGGGACGCTATTGACCCTGCACATCGCCTGCGCAGACGCTTTCCCCAAACCTCATGTGTCTCCCACAGTGTCATGGGGTCTCCTGTCAGGTCAGCTCCTGCAGTGGGACCCGTGTGTGTCGTGGAAAGAGGCACAAGGTTGCCAGCGAGTTTGTGGCAGGGCGGCAGTTCCCAGGACGGCTGCTGTACCCCACTTCTGGGTCAGCCATGTGGCTTTCCAGTGTTTATCGCCCTGGCCAGGCCCTTTGTGCCAGTGCGTGCAGGTAGCAACGGGTTCCCTTTCCGCCAGGGAAGGTTTCCGGGTCACGTCTGTCTCGTGGCTGGGGGGAGGGAAGGATTGGCTGTGGACTGGGACCCCTCCCGACCCCCAGGGCTGCACCCACAGAAAGGACTGACCCAGGCCCGGCAGATTCTCTGGGCTCCTTGCTCCCTAGTTGGGATATTGTCAGCCCCTCCCCCAGTGATGTACCTCGGTACGAGCTTCATCCCCCGTCTCCGGCGGGCAGCGGGAGCTTTGACATGCGCAGCAGGAACAGTGTCCGGCCTGGGTGTGTGCTGGACCGGCGGGTCCCCTCTGATCTCTGCCCCCAAGGGTCAGCTGTGGGGATGCTTCCCTCAGAGAGCTCAGACCCACGAGTCCCCTTAAACCTGGACAAGGGGAGAGGCGCCTAGGAGTGCAGGCCCAGCCCCCCATGCAATCAATGGGGAAACACTCCTGCTCTGTCCCCTCTTGGCCCCCTGCCCCCAGCCAGCTCCCAGCCGCGACAGACCCTGCCCTGGGAAGCCAGGTCCCCTTCCCCTTTGAACTTGGCCAACTTCCAGCTACGAAGCCCCTGGGGTCTCATTCCCCACAG